GAAAATTCCTTACCATTTAATATTTTTTGCCTGACAAAAATTCTACAAAAGAAATCTGTAATTTTTTCTATTGTAGCATTAGAATAGACGCTCAAAGGAAGAAAAGAACCTATATAAATTTAAGAAACACAATTTGTCATATATAGGAATAAATTTGAAAAGTTCCATTCTATTTAATAATTTTTTTGGAAAATTCTACAAAATATGTCCAATTTTTCTACATGTCATCAGAAAAGACTAATACGGAAATTTACCAACAGAAAAAATTTAAAAAGGGACGTCAAATGATAAGTATCAGATATGATAAGATAAGCATTAAATTTAAATTTTTGCCTGAAAAATATTCTTTAAAATAAAATCATTTTTCATGTATAGTATCAGGAAGCTAGAATAAAGAAAATACCAACATAAATTTAAGAAAAATACTTGTTCAAATGATACGAATAATTTTACTACGAATAATAATAATTCATTGACAACTACCCCAAGTATATCTCACCCGATTTATGGCTGTTGTCGTAAAAAGACACCATGTGTCACTACGACTATCGTTGTTTCTTTCTTTCGGTGGTTCAATTTTTCTGGTTAGCCCCAGCTTTCTAGTGGTTCGAGAAGTATTGATCAATCCATTCAAACATTTATGGAATCTACATTTATTTACAAGCAATATTTACAAAGATATACAGGTTTAATGGTAACATCTCAAAGGCAAAAGTTAAACTGGAAGAAGAATGCCCTTTTAGAATAAAACAACTCGTTTCCACAGTAACAGCTGGTCTCCACTTCAACAGCCCGTTTCCACAGCAACCAACAGCCCATCTCCACGGCAACAGCGCAATTCTGAATCGGTTCCAAACGATTTCTATTAAACTACCACGGGACGCTGCGTGGCGCGAAGAAAAGCATAAAAATTCCAACACCATGCCCAGGTACCATATTACCAATATTTAGACAATGATATCCAATAATCAATAAATAATTTGCATATTTTATCAGACAACTGTGTACCCATGTTCTCTTACCAATGGAGGAAATGTATGATTTAGCTCATGTCTAGTTCCGTTGTAATACATGCAATTTCCCATCGAGAGTGGGGATAATATGTTAGAGATTACATTGAATTACACAAATTCCTCCTCGCAAATTACTCGCGAAATTCGCCACACGTACCAAAGACCCCTTGTCCGCGTAAGGTGGAGTGCCCATTTAACACTGTATCCCCTACCTGAGGGTGAATGAATCTCTCGGCATGTCCCCAGATTCGCAGTCAGTGATTCCACCAACAGCACAAATGGACGCTGCATCGGTCTTTAATTATTCCCAGGTCCCCGGATGTAGCTATCTCCGGAATTCAGAGTCCTTTAAATTTTCACGCGCCATCGATTGAGTGGGTCTGTAGGTAGCCTAATTCTTCTCTGGCTCCACTCTCAAATAGAGTAGGCTCAAAATGTTTAACCTACTGGACAGTGCTGAACTTATAATTCCATCACTCATATTGCATTACGATTGTTTCTAAATGAAAATGTATTGAATGAACTAAATAAAATGATTGCTTTCAATGCAGTTTTACAGAAAAAAAAAATGAAAAACAATATTAAAATAAATGAATTTCTATTAATTTATTATTTTTTTTAATTAATTCCGTTTTTTAGGCTCATTATGCTTAACCTTCTCAAGAGAGCTGAACTTATAATTCCATCACTCTTATTATATTAAATTTGTTCCTAAATAAAAATGATTTGAATAAACTAAATAAATTTTTGTTTTTAATGCAATTATAGAGAAAAAACGGAAACAATATTTAGGTCAATGAATTTTATTTTTTTCAATTAATTTCATCGGTTTTAATCTCACTATACTTAACCTACTCAAGAGTGCTGAACTTATAATTTCATCACTATTATCACATTACATTTGTTTCTGTATGAATATGAATTGAATGAACTAAATAAAATGATTGTTTTTAATGTAGTTTTATTACAGGAAAAATAATTAAAAAGCTTATTTAGATAAATGAATTTCTATTAATTTCGTAAGTGAATAAAATGGAAGAATAAATGAACTCTTTCATAAAAAACAAATTTTTTTGTAACTCAGCAACACGTACGGATTAAATTCATTTATATGCTGAATTTTTTTTTCTCAGCTAATATGTTTTTAATTAATGATTTCGTTAGCCAAAATGAATACAAAAGCAAATACTAATTAAATCCAAAGAAATCTCACAAAAAGCATTTTCAGTTTCCAACGCTAAAAACATATATTAAAGAAACCATTGGAAAAATGATAACAAAAATTATTTTATAAATTAATAGATAATTGATTAGTAGCATTTTATATTCGCCTAGGTACATGCCTGTCATGGATATGATTGCTTTTATAAATTAGTAATTAATGATTTTATTTATAACGTGTACTGAAAAGTATTTCCATTGAATCTTAACATGTAAATTCGTATATTCAACCATGTCATAATTATAAACAAATGTTTTTTTAGGAACTTTGATCATATGCATAAAAATATAATCGCATACATTTTGCTGTGTTTTAACTAATGGTTTCAGATGATTATTAAATCCTTTTATTCATTTTTAATATTTGTTATTTTTTTATTTTAGAGGTTTTATTTTTTTACTTACTTCATCAATTGATTTGTCTAAAAAGTAATATTTGGGTTCAATGAAGAGACATGACGTTTTGAATTCTCCATTCGAGAAACTCTCTAATCGTTTGAATTTATATAAGTTCATTGAAATTTGCCAAAGCTATTCTCTAAGAGCCTTTCTCATGATATTAATGTGTATTCTATTAAGACGTATCATACGAGACAAAATCCAATCAAACTACTCCAAACCAGTAAGAAGCCTCCTTTAAAAGTATAATCGTCTTACCTTATTTTCCAAGAAATGGCCGCAGCACACTTAATCGATAACTGCTCAAGACAATTTCAGCTGTTACTTGATTAAATTCTACTGGAATAAAAATTGGGATTTTAAGGTAGTATCACGATAACAAAACTGCACTCATGAATTTCATATTTTGATGAAATACTTGATAAAATAAAAATTAATTTCACTTGAAAAGATACAGGATAAGAGTTTACCACCTAACTAGAACTACTTCAAAAAATTTTAAGATATCACCTTGTGCTACTGCACCAGTTAATAAATTTGCCTTATTAGCTATAATTGAATCATGAACTTCAAAAAGTGGTTATCAGGATCCAAAAAAGTCTTCATTCAACGTTCTCTACAGTATCTCAATGGTGATTTCGTGAAGTCCTCATGAAGTCCAGCTTCTTCCAGTGTAAAACCAACGTTTGCGATTTAGAAAATGTAGCATTTAGCAATTTATTTAAACCAATAGAACAATATTATGAATCCAGTTTGAATTGTTTTATATACAAACGTTTTTCAATATAAAAGCGTATTTGAAAAAAAATAGGTGATATCCCCATTTTAAATATTATTTGTCTTACTGTATTTTATTCATAAAGATATCTCAAAGATTTTTTATAGTTGCATATTTTAATTCTTTTAAAAAACATTTTTTTAACATTATGAACAAATAACCCTCTTAGTTTGTATATATATTACAAAAGTTTGTATATTTCATACAAATCTGCCAAATAATTTCTATAATTGCAAATTTTAATTTAAAAAAAAAATTTGTAAGTATATTACAAATCTAAGTTTGTAAATATATTACAAATCCTAAAATTTTGTATAATTGAAAAATTTACTTCTCAAAAAAATTTTTTTTTATAAAACTTTATGAATAAATAAACCTTATTGTTTTTATATATATTATAAAATATATTTTCCAAATTGTTATTTATTTGAGTTAAATTTATGCCGGCAAAAAGTATAAAATTGTAGTGAAAAATTTTGCTTTTTAATTTGAAAAAATTAATTTCATTCTAAATATTTTTATTTGTATGTCAGCAAATTATTCATTATAACAAAATATTATTATCATGATACGTCATTACAACACAACAAGGAAACCATTCTTGATACAAAAATAATTTTCTATATTTACATTTATGACAGTTAGTTTTAATGAAAATATTTAGATTATCCAAAACATTATATCTTAATGAATACCAGAATATTTCTATTGAAACTGTAGTTTCTAGTCTAACTCATCAGTATATTATCCCTTTATATTAATATAATAACAAAATCATATTATGTAAAAACTAAATAGTTAATATTCTAATTTTCAATTAATATATATGCAGTTATGTACATAGGGAATTTCAATGCATATTATTAAATTTTCAGACTATCAAACATTTTATTCTTAAAGAAAATATACAAAATATGTGCAATTATAATTAAAACTAATAGCAAATGTAATTATATAAACACATTTTCAAACCAACAAAAAAATATTTTTCATTATATTATTAAGAGAATAAAGTTGACTTTGTATTTTTTTTATTCTGATCTTAATTTTATCATTTCATACCTTAAAAATTATTAATAAAAACATTAGCCGTAACAGATAAACAACGTTTAGTTAAAATTTCTACTTTTGTTGTAAACATACAATGGGTTTTTGAATAAAAATTATAAAATTTAATTTTTTAAAAGTAATAGTTCTAATAAATAATTTTGATTTATACACTCTAAAAATATATTTTTATTTTTTTCCTAATATATTGTAAAAATATTACGTAAATATGAACGATGGTGTCAACACAAATATGGTATGGGCAATCTTGTTGTTGTTTCTTATCCCACTTGGCTGGCCAAGCCCATGAGACCATACGTACTCATGATTGAAGGGGAAGGAAGCAGCTTCTGTTGTGATGGAGCACCCGTAGGTAGAAGTCTGACTTTGGCTCCGTGACGCTCTTTACAGTCATAGGAGATCGGGACCTACGTCTTAAAATGGATTCCGAACCACTACAAACATCCTTGGCACCACCGATTCGAACCCGAAACCTAAGCGCGAGAGCGCTAGACACTCGGCCATTCAGGTGCCAACGGTGCCAACGCGGTGTTCCCAGGTGGTCACCCACCCAAGTACTGACAGCGCCCAATGATGCTTGACTTCGATGATCTAACAGGAACCGGTCATTGTATGGCCGTTGGCTGAGGGCAATCTTAAATAATGACAGCCAATCTTAAAAATACTTTCTTAATACCTTATTATTCAATAATTCTTAAATCTTCATCTCACTCGCTTTGGATTATCTAGGGAAATTTTCAAAAATGATTCACCCTTCTCTCCTTTTTACAATTTCTTCTATTAGTCACACTCCTATATATATCTATATATATCTTGTTCAAATTTTCAATCGTTCATGAAATACTTTTTATTCATCCACTCAAGTTCAAATACATTTTTTTTAACTTGTAGTAGATGACACTGGATGTTAATACAGTTTTTCAAATATTAATTCATTCATTAAATTAAATTAATTAATTTCTGTTTTTTTTTTTTTTTTTTAGATTTAAGTTGCATATATCTACCAATAGATGGTGCCAGGTAAACTTAAAAAAATGAATAGAAATTATTTATTATGGATTTTCTGCAGTATAGTGAAAAAAAAAAGTAGGAATTGACTTTAAATTTTTTTTTTTATGTTACTTGTTTTGATATGTTCACATCTAGATCAATGTATTAGCGAGAAATGCTCATATTTGTTTCCCAGTGGTAAAAAAGTCTCTCTGAAATGAAAGACTTTTTCGAGATTATGTGTGTATATATTTCGATGTCGAAGAGCGATCAAAAGTTAACTTCAAGGCGAAACTATTATGGGAAAAGTACTGAGCGAAAAAGTTAATAAAATGATGGAGGTGTTTTTCCAACTGTCATGTTATTTTTGTGTCCATTTTCATCGAGTTCACTTTGTGTGTTCATTTTTTATCGAATTCTTTTTTTCGATTCATTTTTATCGAATTCTCTTTGTGTTTTCCAGAGAAGTCCTATATTATCCCTTCAATGGCATCGAATTGAAGAACAAACGTTCGTCCCTTCGAAAACAAAAGGTGCAAATGTCGAATTGTTAAAGAATTTTCGATTTACTCCCCCAGAAGTACTAATCAATCCCTTTTAAAAATATAAGACCCATAACAGCTGAAACAATACATGCCGATATAGTTTTAAAGCATCTACGAATATACTTTTATAGTTAGTCTTCAGGAACAGTTCTTTTTTTTCTTTATAATGCAGCTGGCAAAAACAGGGAGCTTGGTCTTAATAATGCCTTAAGGCAAGTGCTGCACAACGTTACAATAAATTTTTAAAATGCAAAGAGGGTGCTTGTAAGGTGCTAAGATAAACCACGGACGGGAGTAACAATGCCCCCGCAATGCTCTACGATCCTATTAGACCGGGACCTACTTTTAAAGTGGATTCCAAACCACTACAAACAACCATGGCACCGCCGGGATTTGAACCGAAAACTGTAGTACCGCCAGAGCGCCCTCTCTACAGGAACAGTTGATTCACAAAAATGATAAAGAAAATTTTTAGAAAAAAGTATGGGGTGATATGTTTCTATAATAATTTTAAATGCACCTATGTTTCAAATTTTCTAAATTTTTAAAATGCAAAAGAAAAAGTAACAAGATAACGAATTTTTATAGGTGCTAATATTCAGAATGTGTTTGATGCTATATTAGGATGAGTTGCGTATTCTTATCTGGCCGTATTGATACAGTTAATGTGCTATGTACAGGTAGTGAGATATTTATAAATCATGACAGAATATATTTTTAAATATATTCATGTCATAATTTACATAATTTTATAATAATTCTAATAATAATTATTATAAAATTAATGCATAATTTTATTATCATATTTTAATATTATTTTTGACGAAATTAGAGTAAAAACAAACCTAACCAAATAAAAAAATTGAAGCATCAAGTCATGAAAAATCTTTTTATTCCAGAATTGACATAGCAAAATTATTATAAAAGTTTTAAGAATTGAAATCCGCTCACGAATTTCAATTTATCATGTGTGAACATACGATGCTGGATGAAAACACATGGCAGTAGGCCAATGTTCTGTAACTATATAAATGTCTGTAGCAACTAGCCAAAATATACCATAACTTGTTCGCAATTGCAGCTATTACTCAAAATGTTATAAGAAGTATTAACAAATTCAATAATCTAAATCAATAACATTAACAAATTCAATGCTGCTATTAGGCTACATTCTATTCAGGTAGTGCTATCGTATTGTGGGAATTCGGTTATACTGATATATTGTTGTGCATTTGCTATTATATATTATTATACTGTGCCATATATTGTCCGTCTACGTACAGTTATACTGATGTTATTTGATTCTGCTGTTACTATATAGTGTTAAACTAATTGCTGCTATACTATATATTGTTATACTGTTGCTATTCGATTATACTGTCGTTTTGCGGATAAATACTGTTGCTTTACAATGTTCGGTTATATATATTGCTATATTTTTGCTATTCGGTTAATTTTAGCCGTTGTATTAAATTGAGTTAATTTTCTCTAATGTATTTTTTTTATAATGTCACGGATCGCTAAACAGGACAGCATCATGTTCACATCATAGAAATAAAATGAGTTATTTAATAATACACTTTCTTTTTCAGCGCCATTTTGTAACTAAAACCACCTGAACTCTTCCATCAATTTCGAGAAGAGGTCATCTCAGACAACTGTAACAATCTTTTTCCTCGACACAATTTCATTCTTGGATACTATTTCCGTTTGTTATGATACTACACATTAATTAAATTTCAAAAAAAAAAATTACATTATTTCTTTAAGCGGTTAAAAAATAAAGATTTTTTTTTCAGTAGAGTTTCAAATACATTCCGAGATGAGCTCTTTTGAAATTCATGACTCAATTCACTTCTACTTATGCTATTTATTACATCTGCATATAGTCAATCAATTTATTTCATCTCATGCTTTTTATTGTATCTGTATTTCAGGATTCATCTTATTTCGACTTATGTTTTTTATTGCATCTGAATTCCGTGATTCATCTCATTTCAATTTAAGCTTTTTATTGCATCTGAATTTAGTCATTCAATTCATTTCATTGCATGCTTTTTATTGAATCTGCATTTGGTGATTTATTTTATTTCATCTTATGCTTTTTATTGTATCTGACTTTCATCATTCAATTCACTTTTTTACCACTCTCGTCACTATTTATTGCATCTAAATTTCGTCACTCAATCCAACTTATGCTTTTTTTTATTGCATAGGAATTTCATCGTTCAATTGACAACATAAATTTTTATTGCCTCTCAATTAAGTGATTCAATTGATTTCAACTCATGTTTTTATTGTTTCCGTATTTGGTGATTCATTTTATTTCAACTTGAGTTTTTTAACTGCATCTGACTTTCGACACTCCGTTCACTTCAAATTATGTTTTATTATTGCATTGTAATTTCTAGATTCATTTCATTTCAACTCATAGTTCTTATTGCTTCAGAAAACAAGTCATTCAATTCATTTCAATTGACCCTCGTTATTGCATCACAATTTCTTCATTAAATTATGTCTTTCATTGAAAAAAAAAAAAAAAGTGGTGCTGTGTTGAGAAATTATGCATTGTCTGCAGGAGATCTGAATGGATAGTGTCTCGAATTATTCAGAAAGCAATCATCCACATTCCATGGAAGAAATAATAGAGCTCTCGGAAGAAAGGAGATGCGTTTCATCTCGCCGAGTGCCCGGAACATCTGTTCTCTCGTGAAGACACGACAAAGAAAACCCATCTATCGAATCGCGGGAGCAGTTTTGACGAGACGCGCTGTTATTGCCCTGACAGGCCAGTAACACGAAGATAATGAAAATGGAGATTTTAGTAGCGCGTTTAATCTTTACCGGGTGCTGAGCAAGATGAAAGACGCTCCTTTAATGGTCGTTACGGAACGGTGTAATGGGGACGTAATAAATTCAGCATGCTCACGCGAGAGATATGACGAAATTATGTTAAAAGGCCGACGAAATGGGGCGGAAGGGAATGCGTTATGAGGAATGCTCGGTTAAGACTAACTGAAAGCATATTTTTCAGTTTCAGCCATGTTTATTTTGGCTCTCGAGAAATTTTGGCACGACCATCATACATACAGTTACTCGAAGGAGGATAAGGAACAGAACAACAACGTATCACCATACCATAAATTTCAAAACAGCAACGGAATTTCGGGGTGATTATAATTAAAGTCCCACTTTCAAAATGATGTAAAAAAAGAACCACTAGTCACAATGAGATCAAATTTGAACTGATTTGGTTTGTCGTATTATGGTCATCCTGTGAATACGAGGGCTAAACAGCCCAGGACCTACAGTTTAAAGTAGATTCAGAACCACTCACAAAATGTCTATGTCGCAGCCAGGATTCGAAAATGAAGCCTGTGATATCCAAGGCCAGAGCGCTAGGCACCAGGCCACCAACTGAACTGAAGATACTGGAAGAACTGGGAAACGTTACGGCATCAAAAATAAATGCCAAAGTGTATGAATAGATGTCGCTGTAAGCGGCATAAGGAAAGTGAGTTCGTCTGCCAATTATAGTTTGAATCGAAAGTACAACGTATTTGGCATGATTTGTACATTAAACCAACTGTAGTGCTCAATGTGCTTGATTGTTTCGGTTTTTTGACGGATAAAATGGCTTCCGAGTCATTCAACAGTTGGGACAGTGTTAGTGGAAAGCCCCCTCCACCACTCAAATTAGCCCCTATGGGATGGGAAAATCGGTGTAACTTTTTGGAACTTTTTATTTGATGCCATACCGTTCTTCATTCTTCAAGTATCTTCAGTTCAAATTTGCACTCATTGTGACGTGTGATTCTTTTTTTTACAGCATTTTGAAAGTGGGACTTTGAAAGTGGACCCTGTAATTTAGTTTGAATTTTTCATCAAAATATAAACGTACGCAAAATGTTTTGTAAATTGTATATATGAATTTACAAAATTTGTTTGTTTGTTCATAATACACACAAAATAATCTATAACCGAAAAATTTGACATACAAATAGGCCATGATCGATGTAAGAAATTAGAATGCTTTTAAACTTGTAGATTCCCTTCCTTTCCCCTTATTTTATGC